AAGAAAGACTAATGAAGTTCACAATGCAGACTCGTTGCCCTAATATTATCATTCATATATCTTAAAACCAAGTAATACAGACACATGCTACTAAATACTTAATTCTTTTTTCTAGAGAATAATAAAACATAGGCAATACTCTTTAAGAGTAGGGTCTATAATTAGCCATGGCCCCGCCTCAATCTCCTCCATTTTCATTTACCCTCACCCGATCAGGCAGATATCCTCAACATCTTTAGTTTTTACGACTCACCAATCGCATCTTCTCACTCGGTAGGCCCCATGACTCACCCATCAAATTCAAGACTTTTTTGGCCATCATGGCCATAGCATTCGGAGGCGGCTTCTTAGTGATGACATTGATACATCGCCATCAAGAGGAAGACCATGGCGACGACTCTTGACAGCGTCTCTCTCCATATGTTCAACCAAACATCCATCTGTAGAACATTTTAGTTTTGTTAATTGAACATATTAAGCCGCCGGTAAACGTGTTGTAACCTTAGTTTCTTGTTCCCATTCATTGACTTCTGTTCAGCTTTAGTTTCGATTTATTATTCTACGAGGGAGGAGATGGTTTAGTGTTATCGACTTCTACTCTCTCAGTCCCTAGTACATTTTAGTATGGAGTTCAAACTCTATTAAGCCCCTATGGTTTCATCTGCAAATCTATTAAGCCCCTGTGGTATTTTTCGACTCTATTAAGCCCCCGTGGTTTCATCTGCGAATCTATTAAGCCCTCATGATTTTTTTTCGACTCTATTAAGTCCCTATGGTTTCATCTGCGAATCTATTAAGCCCCATTTGAAATTCAAAGCACGGGGCTTAATAGATTCGCAGATGAAACCACGGGGGCTTAATAGAGACAAAAATAAGAATGAGGGCTTAATTTCAAATGGGGCTTAATAGATTCATCTGCGAATCTATTAAGCCCCGTGCTTTGAATGTCAAATGGGGCTTAATAGATTCGCAGATGAAACCATAGGGGCTTAATAGAGCCGAAAAAACCACTGGGGCTTAATAGATTCGCAGATCAAACCACGGGGGCTTAATAGAGTCGAAAAAAACCACGGGGGCTTAATAGATTCGCAGATGAAACCATAGGGGCTTAATAGAGGTTGAGTTCTATTTAGTATGGCTTACATCAGGGCTGTCCATGTATACCAGCGCATGCCGACCATGGCCCCCAGGCCCGGCTCGCGGCAACTGCGAACCCGGCGCGGCCATGATCATTCGGCCACATTCGGAAAATACGAGGGCCCAGGCCGGGTTCGGGACATTCCAGGGTCTCGGTGGCATCAAGGCAGGGCACGACCCGATTTCCGGTGTAGGCCCTGGGCCGGCCATAAACGGTACTAACTGCGCCCGCCGGGTCAAACGCCCGGCCCGGGCAGCGCCGGGCCCAGCAGGCCCGGCCCGCGGTGCGCAACCTGATCACAGGCGGAAAACACTCATAGTGATCCCGTATGTGGCCGGGCCGGGCCGGCCGGTTACAAACGGCCCCAAGATTGGCCTTTGCCCGTTTTGCCCCCCAGAAAACGGTCAAAGCGGCTATTTTGTGATGCTATTTTTGGTCATTCTTACCCTAGGCGCCCTAGTTCTAGTAAATAGAGCGGGGTTTCCATCTTGTTTTCTTCACACCAAAGATCATCTCCTCTCTCTTAAGCTCCTCATCTATACACTATACTCTATTATTCTATCTTTCCTAATCCAACCCAAATGCTCCGATCTGATTAATGAGAGCAAAAACAGTATCTACCCCGATCCTGAATTGAGTCTCCCTACTAATGAGTCCTCCCCTACCGAACGTTAATCGCCGAATCCGGTGGAAAATCTGGTCACAAGAGCTCCTAACACGGGCCAAGATCTCCGATGTGTTGGAAATGTTTTACGGAGAAATGATCGTCACGCCAAGGGAGAACACCGGTACGGCATTCCCAACGCCAGAAGGCTAAGGTGCGCTTTGTGCGGCAAGGCAGCATTTTCAACGGCTCATCATAAGAGCGGGCACCCAAAACATCACATCAAAATGCCTTTAGGATAAACACAAACAAAAAAGGCCAGCCTTTCCTCAAGGCGTGATATCGCGATCAATGTCCAGTGATTCTCATCCTCCTCTCTTTCTGGTAGTCTCGGGTAGTTGGATACTGGACGCTGCCAGAGCCAGGAAATGCGTAATCAGGTTTATCATTCTTAAAAACCTTCCTTTTAAATTAGTAGAAGATGATGAATTTGAAGATATGTTTAGAGATGGTTTTTATCCTGCATTTAAAAAATTTTCTCGTCAAACCTGTCAACGTGATATTTTAAAATATTATCAGCAAGAACAAGAAAAAATAATTTCTTATTTTAAAAATTTAAACTGTAAATTTTCTTTAACTTCTGATATTTGGACATCTAGAGCACAAACTGGATATTTATGTATCACAGCACACTGGATTGATGAAAATTGGCAAATGTTTAAAAGAGTTGTTTCTTTTATTGCAATAGAAGAGTCACATACTGGTGCTAATGTTGCAAATTTAATAATTGAAGAACTTATGAAATTAGAAATTTCACAAAGAATATTTTCTCTTTCACTAGATAATGCAAGTAATAACAATGTAGCTGTTGATTTTATCAGATCATCTTTATCATTGCCATGTCATGGTGATCTTTTTCATATTAGGTGCATCTGTCATATTTTAAATTTAATTGTTCAAAGTGCATTTACTGAAATTAAACCCATGATAGAAAAGGTTAGAACAGTTGCTTACATGCATAGTGCTTCTGAACAAAGACTTAAAAGATGGAAACAATTTTGTAAAAGAAAAAATGTAAAGCCTAGACTAATTCCAAAAGATGTTGACCATAGGTGGAATTCCACATATGCAATGTTAAGTGTAGCAATAGAATATAAAGACATTATAACTGATTTTATAAACTATTATGCTTCTAGTTCTAGTTCTGGTAGCACTTATGGAATAACTGAAGATGAATGGACAGTTATATGTAATTTAAATGAAATGTTACAAGTTTTTTATGATGCTACCATGTTATTATCTGGCTGTTATTATCCAACCATTACTTTAGCTGCTTTACAAATTTTAAATATTCAAAATTTTTTTGATAAATATCGTTTGGATGCTACTTTTGGACCTATGGTTTTTGAAATGGAGAGCAAATTTAATAAGTATTTTAGGCCTATTCCTCATATTTTTGGTTTGGGGGTTCTTATTGATCCATGCTTGAAGGATATTGGCCTTCGAAGTTTGTTACAGTCATTGTATGGTGGACAGGTTATAGACTTAGATGATGGAACCACCCTGAATGCTACTACTCATCATTTACTTATTAGAAATTATTTTCAAACTTTATATGATGAGTATGCAGCTAGACATGGTGTAGCTGCACAACAGTCTGCAGCTTCGGTTTCTTCGAGCTCATCCCGAGCCCGAGGTAAAAGTGTAAGTTTTGATAGGTATGCAATGGTAGCCGAGCTAACTGGTGGATCTGGACTTGGATCGTCATCATCGGAGGTTTCTGAAATAGATGAATATTTTTCTGCTTCTTTAGTTAGATGTCAAGGAAATGCTTTAGATATTTTGCAATGGTGGAAAGTATATGGATCAGTTTCATATCCTATACTTTCCACCATGGTTCGTGATTTACTAACAGTGCAGGTTTCGACGGTAGCTTCGGAATCCGCCTTCAGCACAGCAGGTCGTTTGATCGACGATCATAGGACATGCTTGGATCCGTATACTGTACAAGCGGTGATGTGCTTACAAGATTGGTGGAGGTACGAGAAGCGAACGCAAGGCATCGATCGGATGGCTGGAATTGAAGATAAATTTGAAGAATTGGGACTAGCAGATAGATATAAAGAATAGATTGTAGTTTTTATATCTTAGCTTACAATTTGTAAAGAATTATTTTGGAAATAATTGCAAATGATAGTGATATAGGTGAGTAGGTGCCAACCTAGTTGGGATTTACTTATCTATTGTGATGCGATTAATTCCAAAATAAATTTGTACTTGTAATTTGTAACTGATTTATCAATTATTAATAAAGAATATGTTTTTATCATTTCTTATTTGTAATTTATGTCATTTTAAGTAATTAATAAAATTATTGTTTTTGTTATTTTTCTTGTCTTTTTTTTATAATTTATAAGTTAAATAACATTAAAAAATTTTGGAAAAAAATAAAAAAAAATAAAAAAAAAGGAAAATCACCCGGGCCAGCCCGGAACCCGGCCCGGTCGGGCCCGGGCCCGGGCCCGGACCCGGCCCGGTGTACCCGGGTCCGGGTCCCGGTTTTGCCCGGCCCGGGCCCGGATTTCCGGGCCGGGCCGGGCCGGGCCGGGCCGGGCCGGATGGACAGGCCTAGCTTTACATAATTGTGCTTTCGTTTTTGTGTTATTTAGCTACACATTGCAAGTAACTGTGACAACCTCAGTTCCCTACAAAAGCCCCAACATCGTCCTTGGACAAAATTTTGAATTATAGATCCTCTGGAAAAAAAATTAATCACCAAAATTGATCTATTTTCAAAATATTTATCAAAATATGCCTAGTTTTTGCCATGTTGGCAACTAGGCCAATTTTGATAATTATTTCGGGAAATGAGTCGATTTTGGAAGGATTGCCAATCCCGTTGGGAGTTCGAAATTTTTTTTTCCTTTCAAAATCGATCTACTTTTGCTGATGCGGCTAAATCTAAGTCAATTTTGATAGATATTTTGCAAATAGGTCAAAATTGATAATTTCTTTTTTGAAAAGGTCTATTTCAAAAAAATTGTCCATCGTCCTATATATTCTTCTTCTCTCTCCCAAACCACTCGCATCTCTCTCATACTCTCTCCTATTTCTCTACAAGTAATTTTTGTTAACCTAATGCTTAAGAACATCCAGGGTATTTTTGGAATATTCAAGTGCAACTATTTTTATTAAGCTAGAAAATGTTTTAAAAAGTTTCAATTACCTTTCAACTGGACATCATTTTGCAATGAAATCTTAGATTTACACAAGGAAATTAATGCAGATTTCCAACTTTAGTCCGGTACAGGAGAACACACATACAATAATCTGAAATGTAAATGCTCATATAAAAATTGTGGTTCAAGTGGAAACCGGAAGCTTTATGAATACAAGTGATTTAACACCTTATGATTAACCAACGCAAGCACGATACTTAATGCATCCATCAACAGTCTCAACAACAAGTTGTTTCATGCGCAAAAGCAGCAGCAAGTAAGATCGCCCCTTGTGGCCTGAAAAAAAAAAAACATTAGATCTCTCAGCCTGACACAGAGGGTATGTTAGAAATAGCCCAAGATTACCATTATTTCAGAATTAATGTTTGACTCTCAAGGCTTATAAGCCCTAATTTCAGTTTTCATTAATATTTGTTCTTTAAGATGATCGGTAGTTTAATGCCTAACTTTTGGAAAATGTACTAAGAGTTGGATGATACATGCACCAATTACAAGGATTCTAAAAGCAATTTTTAAGTCATCATAGCAACTGAATGAAAATAAGCTGAAATATTACGCACCCAGTGCTAAAGATTCAATATCATGCTGATCGATTGCAGTGCATTCCTGATCTCCCTCTTTCTTACAGAAGAAAACGTTCAACTTAGCAACAGCTTCTTGCAGTTCCTGAAACAAACCCCATACATAAAAAATTGCCAATTTCAAAAGTCAAATATGGGATTTGAGATCATGTAATTGGCTAAACATATAAAGAACACAAGAAATTGAACCCAGTTATCTCGCCTAATAAATTACTTCAATTTATGTGATTCTTTCCTCTATATTATATTCTCTGGTGTATGGATGGACAATAAAAGTAAGCTCGAGTAGGATTTCAGAATGTTCCTAACTAGTTGTAGCGGTGGGTCATACAATATAATGAGCAAGAGGGAGTATGATAGATAAGGGACAAGGAAAAAACTATCAATTAGAAGAACATTGAGCTGTCAAACCTCCCAATCCTTCACTCCTCAACATGTTAGTAACGAACACCTCATTTCACTAAGAGTTTTTGTGTGGCTCATGTATACGCAAAAGTAAAGGGCCAGCATACGTTAAGACACATGATTCTCCTCAGAAAAAGTGAAAGACAAAATTGTGTTTTTCAAAAGAAGCTGCTCCTGCAATGTACATTCTAATCAACTGCAGAACATAAAATAACTTTCATCTTTTAAGAGATTCAAATTTAAAAAAAAAAGCAAAATTCAAAACATTCTTTTGCATTTCTTTTGTAGAGAAAAGAAAAAAGAAGATAATATTGTATCATAGGTTTTTCATGACAAGAAAAGATAAAGGAGTACCAGGCATCATAATTGCTCATCAAGTACATTTGGAGGTATTCTGGAAATTAGAAAGCACATACAAGAAAAACCACATAGTAGGCATGCCATTCCGGTCCCCTCGGTCACCCATGGGGCGTCGGGATATGATAGGATGTACTAACCTGTCGTCGAAGCCATCGGAGGGAACACCCCCCTCACTGATGACATCATGAACGCTCCATGTGAGAAATTCAAAATGCCCCACATGGAGAAGTACAAGGACGAAGGAGACCCAGCCTAGCATGTCCAGAACTACTATGATATGATGAGCATGCTCTAGGCGTCTGGAGCGATCATTTGTTGGTGCTTCCTCATTACTTTGTCAGGGAGCGCCAAGCTCTAGTGGAACACCCTCAAGAAGAAGTCTATCAGCAGCTTCAAACAGCTCAGCCAGAAGTTTGTTTACCACTTCCTGACCGACACCAAGCAGAAGCTGCCTCCTCATGTGTTGATACAGATAAGATAGGAGCCTGTGGAGAACCTTCGAGCCTACTTCAAGAAGTTTCAGGCGAAGAGGTTAGAGGTTAACGACCCAGGGAGTGTAGTCGCTATGTATGCCCTTGTTGCCAGCGTGGAGAACAATGAACTGGCCAACTTACTAGCCAAGACAGTCACCAGTTACGAACAGTTGATGGCAAAAGCTCACGGGTACATGGACATGGAGGACACCCAAGCTTATAAGGCGACATCCAAGGCCGCCGAAATCTTTGCGGCAGCACCAATACCA